TAATAAAAAAATTGTTTTAATCTAAACAAAAACATGGATAAAGTCGTAATTAAAGAATAAATTGGAGGATACGTTAGTCATATCACCCTTACACGTTCCCTAACCAAAACCCTTAGCCCTTGCCTTGGTATATCAGTATTCGCCTCACTCACAAACCCTAACGCACGCTAAAATCCAAAATCGATCAAACTCAGAGAAATGGGAGTGTTTACGTTCGTGTGCAGGAGTTCAGATGAAGAGTGGACGGCTAGGCAGCTGAACGGCGAGCTAGAGTCGACGGCTGGCTCCACCTACGAGCTTCAGCGCAAGCTCGTCCAAGCCGCTCTTTCCGCCGACTCCTCTGGGGCCGTCCAGTCATCCTTCTCTTACGTCACTCCTTCCTCCGCTGTTTTCCAGGTTTCTTTGTTTATTGAATTTTTCGTTTATATATTTGTTTTTATATTTATTCGTGACTTAGCTCTTGTTTGGGAAATATAGTTGGTTTTGGTCAAGTGTGGAAAGGTACAATAATTGTTGCGAAGCGTGCAACATTGGTGTGTTCACGTTTGGTGAATTTTACCTTTTGCTGGAATTATAGTTCACTATTACTGCACTCTCTTGCGTCGTTAAAATCCGAATTGTCATTATTTCAGTGTGGAAAATCTTGTTAAATTACATGCATATGGTTGAATTATGGGAACTCTTTTATTGGGATCCTCCGGAGGATATACCTGTTCTGCGATATATAATTGAATCTGTTGTAATGGCACAGGTGATTATTGGTGGTGCTGTTGGTGGTGGTGCATTCATTGGAGGAGGTGGAGCTGCAGCTGCCGCGGCTCCTGCTGGTGGTGGAGCAGCTGAGGCAGCACCTGCTGCTGAGGAGAAGAAGGAAGAGAAAGAGGAAAGTGACGACGACATGGGATTCTCTCTCTTTGATTAGTATATTTATTTCATCTACTTATTGTTGCCTACTTCTAAATGTTCCTAATTGGTTAAGCTGAAATTTTGATGATATGAGTTATGGGTTTACAGACATTGCTTGCTTTTATTGGGTATTGAATATCTGGTGAATGATTGGTTTGCATAACTGCATTTTTCAGTAGTGTTTACCTCTCTCTGCTATAAATTTGAGATGGCCATGGATATGCATTTTTTACTTGTCATTGAATCGGCCCCTAAGCTTCTATTTTCGCATTCTTTTATTTTTTATTTTTGGAAGAGGGGCACTGGAGCAGCTTTTTCGGTGAAGAAATGTTTTCAAATCTTTATTACCAAGTGGTGTGTGCTTTCATGTTTGATTATTCATCCAAGTAACTACATATTTCATACATGGAACTATACAAAATTTTAGCAGGGAATTTATGAAGATAGGTATTAGGGGGGGTTAATGCAAAGGTAAACCTTATCTCTGATTTTTCCTTAGAGCCTCTGATTTAGCTGTTCTCTTGATATTAGCTATCAGCTCAGCTCATCTATGCTTGCCCCTTGTGCACCCTGACTTTAAGGTATATCACCAGTTGGGCTTTGGTATTTGGTCAAGTATGGACAGTTCTGGGTGGGACTTTATGCACTCAAGTATTTTCTGATTAGAGTTTCTGTGATACCTCCAATATGCTTTGATCTATTTGTCATTTAGGTTCAATCCTTTCTGTTTGTTTAGTGCTGGAGCGACGATATGGTTGATTAAGCCTGCTTTTTCACACAACCATTCCTCCAAAACCAAATAGTTGACGTTATGACTCTCGAATATCAATTGGGTAAGCCTATAACTTCACTAGAAACCTACAAAACAAGGGAATATCAGGTAGCTGGGCCATTGAAAAAGTGGGCCACGTTTGTGAACACATTCAAATGTTTCAGTTGGTTGTGTAGCATTTCAGAGAGGATGAAATTCCAGTTGCTTAACCAGTAATCTACGATATTAATGGATATGGATCGTTTAGCAGTTACTTTGCCCCTTTGATTTGTACTATATTTATCCTGTTTTATAGGTTTATCTCGGAGTCGGGTTATTGCACAAAATGACATTGTAGATAATCCAACCCAAATTGAATGAATTAAGGCCCTGTTTGATAGTGCACATTATCCATGAAATTTTTTTTCCATTTTTTCAACTTTTGTAGTTTTGATAGGCAATATTTTCCAACTTTCCAAATTTTCCACCTTTTTTGGGAAAATAATTTTTTGATATTTTGGTGGGTAAATATTTTTCAGTTTTTTTTTTTGGCAAGTGGAAAAATTCTAGACACAATAGTAAAAAAAAAATTCACTTTTATTGATAATAATCATGCAAAATAAAGCCAAACAAATAGTATTCGGTACGATTTTTTTTTTTTTTTTAAGCAATTGGAACAAATTCTATACCCAATGGTAGAAAATATTATCACGTTAATAGACAATTTTTATAAAAAATGAAGTCAAA